CCCCCTCCCCGATCCACAGCTAAGTCAAACTCCTAAGGACAGTCTATCTGGTAGAGAGATGTTGAGAGCGGAGCCTCACGCCTGCAGCAACAGCCCCTGTGCTGGGCTGGGCGGGCTCCTAGGCCTGCACTGGGTCTCCCCAGGCAGACGTTTTCACCAGGTACCTTACCCAAAACGAGTGGGGTGATTCCAGATGCTTGCTCCCTAGTGGACTGAGCTGCCCTGCCCATCAGTGAGAGGCAGGGCACTTTGGGGATGGCTGGTGTGGAGCTACTGGACCTGGAGGTGAGGGCTCCCCAGGCTGGCAGCCTGTTGGGCGGCTGCAAACAGCCAAGTGTGGCTGTTTTCTGCAGACATCTCACCGAGGCACAGGTCCTCAGGGTGGCACCTGCCAGGTGAGTGTGAGCCCAAGGTGGTTGGGCACATCTGGACTGAGCGCCCTCTCCCCTCGGCACGGCAATGTGGCCTGCTGCTACTGCCATTGCTCCCAGCAGGGGAGCCAATGCCACGAGGAGCTCAAGGCCTGAGGGTCCGCTTGCTTCAGGCCCTGGCTCCCCCAGCGCCCAACACGGATTGAGCAGGAAGTGAGCCTGATGTCACTTCTCAGCCCGAGAGAAGAGATAAAATACAGCCCTGCTGTGAGCAGAGTGACGAGGGGCCTTTTTCCTCACAGTGAGGCCCAGAGGCCAGGGAAGGGGTGAGGACACCCAGGGCGGCAGCTAAGTCTGCAGCCCTTAAGAGAGAGCCTTAATCGAGAGAGTTTCCACTCCCTGGAGACTGATGGGCTCTTGGACCCTGACTGGCCCAGCAGATACACACACACTCACCACAAGATGCAAGGACCACAAAGCTCAAACCTGGGGCCATGGTTGGGGAAGGGGGACAGGTGTGGGCAGATGCCCTACTTAATAAGGGTTTTTAAGGAGTGGGTGAATGTGCTCATAACAGTCGCCGAAGTTGGGGAGCCTGGTGGGTGCTCTGTGGCTGCCCCTGCAGCTGCTGCCACCTGCTGCTGCTGCTGCTGCTGCTGCTGTTGCTGCTGTTGTTGTTGCTGCTGCTGCTGCTGCTGCTGCTGCTGCTGCTGCTGCTGGTTAAGGTTACGGGCTGTGGACTCCTCAGCTGCACGCAGCAGGAAGGTGTAGTTCCTCACCACCTCTTCTACCTTGGCCAGCAGCTCTTGGCGCTGGGCCTCGGAGCGCACAATGAACACCAGCCGCACGAAGGTCTCAATGAGGCTGCTCAGCACCTGGAAGCTGCCCGTGATGGCTGCCAGCATGTGAGTTGGGCTCTTGTCCACATTGGCCACACGGCGGCAGGAGGCCCGGAGCTCCTTGAACTTGAGAGCTAGCTCGAGCTTATACTCGGAGATCTGAGAGACATAGGGCTTGGGGGCACGGGCCTCGGGGCTGGCCACACACTGCCGCAGGACTGTCAGCAGCTCGTTGGTGTCCAGCCGGGCAGCCAGGAAGCCATCAGGGAGGCCATAGGCATGAGCCCGCAGGGCATTGATCTTGGCCAGGCTCCCCTCGAAGGTGGACACACGGAGGTCAATCTCCTGAGTGCGGGAGGCCTCAGGGCTGCTGCTGCTGCAGGTAGCAGCATCCAGCACCTGCAGGGTCCTGCTGACCACAGGCACCACCTGCTCGTCCAGCTTCATGCCAGGCAGAATCTTCATGGGGATAGAGTAAGAGAGCTCATCCTTGCCATCACTGGCATCATCTGCCATGTCACACTTGCGGTAGTAGAAGCAGTAGCGGATGGAGCAGCACTTGCTGCTCTCACTGTCCTCGTCTAGCTCGGCAGGCTTCCGGTACACCTCCGCGGGCAGTGAGAACACGGCCATCTGTCTGGGGCCTTTGGTCTCTGGGGCAACCTGGACGTAGGAGAGGTCTCCCAGCGTCGGTGACTCCAGAGACCTGCTTTTGGGACCCAAAGCTATGGGCAGGCTTGCCTCTAACTCCTTGGCCTCCCTGGGCAGCATGCCCAGGGGCGGATGTGGGTAGACATCCGAGGTCAGCGAGGCCCTGTCACCCTGGTCCAGTTCACTGATACTGTAGCGGCGCATCAGTTTCCTGTAGTTGGGAGCTCCCAGACACTCGCCCCCTGAGGCACACGTGGTCAGGCACGAAACACCACTCTCAGGGTCCGATCGGCACTCTCGGGATTCCAGGCTGGTAGAACGAATGCGCCGGACATTGATGGGGCTGCTGAGGCTCACGCCTGGGCCAGCCTCTGGCTGCCTCTGGCTAGGGAGGACCCTGTCCCTTTCCCTCCCCCGGAGGCTGGGCACTGGTGTCTGGGTGGCTTGCGGCCGGCCCCCCCGGCAGATGCGCTTGCAGTCGCAGCTGCGCCTCTGCTCGCGGGACATTCCCGGCCCCTGCTGCACGGGGCTGCTGCGGAGCTGGCAGCTGCAGCGGCCAGGTGCTGGAGGTTGCAGGTACTCGGTGCCTGGCAGCTCCCCCTGGCTTGGTGGCTTTAGAAGTTCCTCAAGGAACTCCAGCTCATACTGCTTTACCTTCTGCAGTTGGGCCTGCCGCTCATCTGTCTCCTTCTTCTGGCGGGTTGGGAAGGTGGCAGAGAATAAATTGCGTAGCCGGAAAGGACCTCGGGATGACTTGGGTTTTGCAGGGCCTTCAGAGGTCGAGTGGGCTCCATTGAGAGTTGTTTCAAGCTTCCTAGAGGGCATGGTGCTCACCTGCCGGCTGGCAGCCTGAGACCTCAGTGGGCTCTGGCCTCGAGGTTGGCAACTGGGGCTCTGGCCTCGAGACTGGCTGCTGGGGCTGTGGCCATGGGGCTGGCAGCTGGGGCTGTGGCTTCTTGACTGGCAGCTGGGGCTCTGCAGAGCCATGGAGTAGGTAGCTCGGGGAACCAGGCTGGTCTCTTCGAGCTTGCTTCTTTTGGGTGTGCTCTCCAGCTGCGCCTTCTCACCTTGGCTGGAGATGGTGCCCTGCTTCTGCAGGGTGGGCTTACCACCCTCTGGCCCGCCTTTGCCTGCCATGTCCCCTGTAGCTTGCTTGCCCACTGACTCTCGGCTTGTTCGCAGAAGATAGCTTTTGGGAGGGAAATTTTGAACAGGCAGCCTGTCCTCCTGTTGGGAGAGGTGCAGGCTCTCAGCCCAGCTGCCTGTGGGTGCTCTGGGGCCGGAAGAGACCTCTGCGCCCAGCTGATGCTGAGAATTCCGTGAGGTCTCTGGAGCACTGGGGCTAATTTTGAACTTCAGATTCTTATTTGCACTGCTACTCATCATGCTAACCTCTGGCCTCCCCATGCTGGCCTCCAGCCTTCTCTCACCCCTGCTGGGGGGGTTCCCCAAAGCCCCACCAGGAGTGACTAGACTCTTACTGTGAACCACTTGCTGTAGGGCAGCCGAGATGATGGCCGGGGTCACACTGCCCTTTGGGTCCAGGATAAGCTTGGGGCTCAACCTGACCTCCTTGGGCAGGTTGTCCCTCAGCTCAGAGACCTGCTCTTCACTGAGGGATGATGTGGCTGCCCTCAGTGACATTTCTAGGCCTGCCCTAGTGTGGCCAGGCCCTTTGTCCTCAGGAACTGGGGACAGCAGGCTCAGATTCTTCTGTTCACTAAGCTGTGGGGACAGTGCTGGGTGCACTGCCAAGGAGTATGTTCGTTCTCCCTGTACCTGGCCCTCTGACTGGGGCAGCTTCCTCCGAGCGCCAGTGGGGCCAGTACTCTGGCCTGTGGCAATGGGTTGGAGAGATGGGTTGGGATCCGGGCGCCCGAGAGAGTAAGGGGCCGTAAGAACGGCCTGGGCTGCACAGCTCTGGATCCGGAAGGGCAGGTCCTTGCGGGCAAGGAGGCTGTCCTTGTTGAGGTGCTGGGCCAGGAAGTAGGTGGTGTTCTGGTGCTGCTTCATGGCCGACATCATCTCTGACATGTCTGTGAGCTCTGAAGAGTTGGTTTCATGACCCGAGTCCAGCGATGATTCAGGAGTGATTGTGGCCAGCACAATCAGACCTGGAGGAACAGGGATAGGGCTTGTTACGCTTACTGAAATCAAGTTCTTTTCCAGCTCTACACGGTTGTCCCTCGGTATTCATGGGCGATTGGCTCTAGGACTCCTGAAGATTCCAAAACTTGCAGATACTCAAGTCCCTGATATGAAATGGCATAGTATTTGCATGTAACGTGTGTACATCTTTCCATGTATTTTAAAGCCTCTCTAGATTACTTATAATACCTAACACAATGTAAATGCTATGTAAGTAGTTGTTATACTGTGCTGTTTAGGGAATAATGACAAGAAAAATCTGTACATGTTCAGTATAGACATATTTCTTTTTGTCAAATATTTTTGATCTGCGGTTGGTTGAATCAGTGGATGCAGAACCCTCAGATACAGAGGGCTGACTGTATAGGAGGTGCATAGAAGCCAAGGTTAGCCGGCAGTATTTCCAGCTGGAGAAAAACAGTCAGGCCTGGTGAGAATGTAGGGCTGAGGGTGGGAAGAGTGGAGGGGAGGGGACAAAGAGGGGCAAGCTATAAGAAGGGGATGAAAGGCTGGAATCCAAAACAGAAACAAAAGAGGTGGAGCGAGGATCTGGGCAGTTTGATGGCAAATTACCATGCAAATCACATGCAAAACAGCATGCTAATCACAACTATTTTTAGATTCAACAGCTAGGAAATTTTTGTTAATTGTCCTAAAGAGGGGTTGGCAAAGAGAGGTCTCTCTCTATCCCTCCTCATCTGGCCAGGCCTGCCTACAGTCATTGCAGCTGAGGCCATTTAGCTGAGCTTGTCCTCTCTCCAGCAGCCACATGGGACTTGAGCCTGGGAGCAGCTAGCACTCTCTCCAGACTCTAAGCAAAGAGAAATGCCAGCCCTGGGGGCCAAATACATGGGGGCTGCCCAATGTCAAGGGTATCCTCACATACGGAAAAGGCAGGCTTTCTCTGACCCCAATACCTTCACCCTCCCTTTCTACACTTTTCCCTGCCTCACATGCTTTCTCGTGGTCCCTATTCCTCCCTATTCCTTTTCTGTTGCTGTGTCATTTACCTCTTCTCTCTCTCTCTCTCTCTGTCTCTTTTTTTTAAAGAGTCTTACTCTGTTGCCCAGGCTGGAGTGCAATGGTGCAATCTCAGCTCACTACAACCTCCGCCTCTCAGGTTCAAGCGATTCTCCTGCCTCAGCCTCCTGAGTAGCTGAGACTACAGGTGTGCACCAGCCTACCCAGTTAATTTTTGTATTTTTAGTAGAGACGGTGTTTCACCATGTTGGCCAGGCTGATCTTGAACTCCTGACCTCAAGTGATCTGCCCACCTCGGCCTCCAAAAGTGCTGGGATTACAGACGTGAGCCACCACGCCCGGCTCTCTTCTCTTTTTTTAAGGTGTATGTGTATGGAGGGACATATGTGTGACTATGGGTACATGTGTGACGTGTGTTTGTCTACAAGATGGACATATGTGTGTCTATAACAGGGAACAGCATGCATGTTGTACAGTTCTCCTATGAACTAATACTTAGTAACAATAGCTACCACTTACTGAGGCCTTACTGTGTGCTAGGCAGTGCTTACATGCTTTGCATGAATGATCTCATTCAATCCTTATAACAACTCCATGTGATAGAACTACTTTTATAAAACCCATTTAAGGTTACAGAATGAGGGTCAGAGAGAGTAAGTGCCTTGCCAAAGGTTACACTGACAATGACTGAAGAAACCAGGATTTGGGTGCATCTGATTCGGAGCCCATGTTCTTAGGCAGGATAAAGACCTCAGCCATGAGCAGTGATGGCCTTTGGCTCCCCTGGTCCCAGGTCACTAGGTAGTGAGTTGGTCGTTTTGCTTTTCTTTCAATCATGTGCATGCTGGATGTTCTGTTCTTCGCCTGTCTTCTACATCTCTCACAGTTTTTCTCTGATCCTCCATCCTGGCCTGCATCCATAGCTGTCATGACCTCAATCCCTGGGATCTATCTGTAAGGTATTTCCAAAGAGATGCAATGACGAGAGCCAGAACTCTAGCTAGAGCTGAGCAGCTGCTCCCTGCTGCAGCATCATTGCTCCTCTGACACTATCTAAACAACCTTTGGTCCATCCACTGCCCTGACATACCTCAGTGACTCTGACATCTATTTGGGAAGACACAATGTTACTCACTGGCCCTTCCTGGACAGGAGAAGTGGGAGGAAGGAGGGAGAAGGAATCGGTCATTACCTGCAGTCTGTGGGGGTGGTGGGTGTGGTCCATCCTCGGATGCAGCCAGGGCTTCCAGGGCCTGCAGAGTGGACACCAGGGCATCATCTAGCTCCTGGGCATGATCTCGAACTGTCCGGGTCTGCACACTGTCAATCAATGTCACTGGAATCTCATCGTACAGAAGCCCACGCAGGTGGCGTCCTTGTTCCTGGCTCTGGACAGCCCGGCGCTTGGGGTCATCCTCGTCAGAGCTGTTGTCTCGGAAACCAGGGGGTGGGGCAGCAATGGCTGGCAACAGGGAAGTTGTCTCATCTTCCTCCTCCTCCTCCTCCTCACTCCCAGGTGGTGGGAGGGACATCAAATCTACTATATTGTCACGAGACGAGCCAGGCTTCCCACCTTTGCGAGGGCCCAGCTGCTCCTGGAGCTTGGCTTTGCAAGAGTCACAGTAGAAATTCAGGGCATCAGCCCCAAGGGAATTGTCCAAGGTGTAGGACCGGGCCCTGCTGGCACAAGGCTCATGGTCTAGGCTAGCTGCATCAAAGTCATCAGGGACTACCTCATAACCTTGGCCGGAACTTTTGGATGTGGGGTCAGACTTGGTTCGGGGCCTGGTCTCCTCAAAGAAGATTAGGTTCTCATTGACATCTGTCCGACTTTCCTGCTCCTTTCTTTGTTCCCGCATATGGAGGTAGCAGAAGCTGACAAGCTCAGAGTCGGCAGGTGGGGGTGTGCAGCGGCTCGATTTCCTGGGGCTGGTGCCCACGCTGCCCACATAACTACTCTCCTTTTTCCCCAGGTGGCCCCCAGTGACAGGGCGGTGGGCGCTGTGCATGTAATCTAAACCCAGAAAGAGAATCAACAGATGAACCCTGGTGCCGAGGATTGTGACTGAGCTCCCTTGTCGTCTCTGGCCCATGTCTCTGCAGCACGACCGAGTGGCAGGTCCCAAGACAAAGCATTGCCTGGCTGCCAAAGATTAGGGGTAGGGAAGTTGATGAGCTATGTTACTGCTGACCCTGAAAGCAGAGTGAGTTGAGTCTAATAACCTGAGCTGCTAATAGCCCCATCACCTCTGAAATGGGAAAATGCATGGGGTATGGTAGGGGTGGGAGTGAACACCTTGGTTTAGAGCCTGGTATCTGGGCACAGCTGGACTCTTACATGGATACCCTCTGTTTGAAAGTCAGCTGTAGACATATGTCCCACTTGGAACTGTTCCTACCCCTGCCCCCACCTCTTTTCAGAGCTTTTCCAACCACCAGTGCTCTGTTGTTCTTGTTATCTTGAATCTCTTCTAGCAGAAGGAAATAAATCTGACAAGTTACTAATGCTTTAGTCAGAACCCGTTAAACAGGCTACATATAATGCCCAAGAGTTTGCATTTCAGAGACGCCTGTTGATGGAGGGATCCTAAAAGAATAATGCTCTATATTAGAATTCCAGGGTCTGAATGTGTAAAGTATATGGGAGATATGCTGGGATGTGCATATGTGGGAGGAGGGTAAGGGAAGCATTCTTACAATTCTTCACATTTTATTCTTTTCTGCATTCATACAGGGCCAGCCCTACCTATTACACATACATGTGGCAAATACTCTCGTCAATCGCTCTTAATGATGGTAGGTGTGTGCATCTGAGAATTATCTATCGCAAATGCTTTATCTGTGAATACCTTCTCTCACTGTTTTTGGAGCTCTTCCCTATTTTATCTGTGAGAATACACTCGGACAGCAGACAGACAGATGACAAACAAGCACTAACTTAGGCTAAGGTCCTAATATATGTGATCCTACTTAATCTTCATAACAACCCAATGAGGTAGTTATTATCATTATCTACATTTTACAGCTAAAGAAACTGACTCGCCTAAGGTTACACAGACCAAGTGGTAGACTGGATTTGAGCCTAGGTCTGAAGGACTTCAAAACCCATGTTTTTAGTCATTGCCCTTATAGCTCATCATGGTGATCAAGATGCTGGAAAACAAGACTTCGAAATGCCACTCAAACTCCAGTTTGACAGAGTCAATATGCCAGTGCTGCCTTTCACTAGAGATTACATGTATGACAAAAGTACAGCACTGGCACCTAACAACAAAACCCCCAAATACAGGAAGAAAAAACTGACAGAATTGAAGGGAAAAATATACAATTCAACAACAGTAGTAGGAGACTTCAATACTCCATTTTCTTTCTTTTCTTTTCTTTCTTTCTTTTTTTGAGATGGAGCCTCACTCTGTTGCCCAGGCTAGAGTGCAGTGGTACGACCTCGGCTTACTGCAACTCCGCCTCCTGGGTTCAAGTGATTCTCCTATCTCAGTCTCCCGAGTAGCCGGGATTACAGGTGCCTGCCACCACGCCTGGCTAATTTTTTGTGTCTTTGGTAGAGACGGGGGTTTCACCATGTTGGCCAGGCTGGTCTCGAACTCCTGACCTCAAGTGATCCACCTGCCCTGGCCTCCCAAAATGCAGGGATTACAGGTATGACCCACCGCACCCGGCCAATACTCCACTTTCAATAATGGATGAAACAACTAAGCAGAATATCAACAAGGACAGAGGACCTGAGCAATACTATAAATCAAACTAGATCTAACTGAAATCTACAGAACCATCTATCTAACAACAGCAGAATATGCATTCTTCTTGAGTGCATATGGAACACTGTTGTGAATAAACCATATGTTATGATATAAAATAAGCCTTACTAGATTTAAAAGGAATAAAATCATACAAAATATATTTTCTGAGCACAGCATAATTAAATTAGAAATCAGTAACAGAAGGGAGTCTGGGAAATTCACAAGTAGAAATCAAACAAAACCCCCCCTTTTTTTTTTTTGGATACAGGGTCTTGCTCTGTCGCCTAGGCTGGAGTGTAGTGGTTCAATCTTGGCTCGCTGCAACCTCCACCTCCCGGGATCAAGTGATCCTCCCGCCTCAGCCTCCCAAGTAGCTGGGATTACAGGCACCTGCCACCATGCCTGACTAATTTTTCTATTTTTGGTAGACATGGGGTTTCACCATGTTGGCCAGGCTGGTCTCAAAATCCTGGCCTCAAGTGATCTGCCTGCCTTGGCCTCCCAAAGTGCTGGGATTACAGGCATAAGCAACCACGCCCAGCCAAAACACTCTTAAATAACCAGGCGGTCAAGGAAAAAAAATCAGAAGAGAAATTAGCAAATACTTTGAGATGAATAAAAATGAAAATACAATATACCAAAATTTATGGGATCTAGCTAAAGTAGTTCTTTTTTAAAATTTTTTATTAATTTATTTTTTGAGATGGAGTTTCGCTCCTATTGCCCAGGCTAGAGTGCAATGGCACAATCTTGGCTCACTGCAGCCTCCGCCTTCTGGGTTCATGTGATTCTCCTGCCTCAGCCTCCCAAGTAGCTGGGATTATAGGCATGTGCCACCATGTCCAGCTAATTTTGTATTTTTAGTAGAGATGGAGTTTCACCATGTTGGTCAGGCTGGTCTCGAAGTTGTGACCTCAAGTGATCTGCCTGCCTCAGCCTCTCAAAGTGCTGGGATTATAGGTGTGAGCCACCACGCCCAGCCTAAAAAGTTCTTAAAGGGGAAATCCGTAGCTGAAAGTGCCTACGTTAAAAAAGGGGAAAGATTTCATATGAATTACCATAAACTTTCACTTCTACCTTAAGAAACCAGAAAAACAAGAGCAAACTAAATAGAAAGAATGAATAAGACCTACTATTTGATAACACAATAGGGTGACTGCAGTCAAAAATAACCTAATTGTACTTTTAAAAATAACTGAAAGAGCCAGAGTAATCAGACAAGAGAAATAAATAAAGGACATCCAAATCGGTAAAGAGGAAGTCAAATTGTCACTGTTCACGGATGATATGATCATATACCTAGAAAACCCTGAAGACTCATCCAAAAAGCTCCTAGATCTGATAGAGGAATTCATTAAAGCTTCAGGATACAAAATCAATGTACACAAATCAGTAGCACTGCTATACACCAACAGTGACCATGCTGAGAATCAAATCAATATCTCAACCCTTTTTACAACAGCTGCAAAAAAATAAAACACTTAGGAATACACCTAGCCAAGGAGGAGAAAGACCTCTACAAGGAAAACTATAAAACACTGCTGAAAGAAGTCACAGATGACACAAACAAATGAAAACACAGTCTATGCTCATGGGTGGGTGCAATCAATATTGTGAAAATGACCATACTGCTAAAAGCGATCTGCAAATTCAATGCAATTCCCATCGAAATACCATCATCATTCTTCACGGAACTATGAAAAAATCCTAAAATTTACATGGAACCAAAAAAGAGCCCACATAACCAAAGCAATCCTAAGCAAAAGAACAAATCTGGAGGCATCACGTTACCAGATTTCAAACTATACTACAAGGCATGGTACTGGTAAAAATAGGTACATAGGCCAATGGAACAGAATAAAGAACCCAAAAATAAACCCAAATACTTACAACCAACTGATCTTTGACAAAGCAAACAAAAACATAAAGTGGGGAAAGGACACCCCTTTCAAGAAATGGTGCTGGGATAATTGGCTAGCCCCATGTAGGAGAATGAAACTGGATCCTCATCTCTCACCTTATACAAAAATCAACTCAAGAGGGATTAAGGACTTAAATCTAAGACTTGAAACCATAAAAATTCTAGAAGATAACATTGGAAAAACCCTTCTAGACATTGGCTTACACAAGGATTTCATGACCAAGAACCAAAAAGCAAATGCAATAAAAATAAAGACAAATAGTTGGGACTTAATTAAACTAAAGAACTTTTGCACAGCAAAAGGTACAGTCAACAGAGTAAACAGACAACTCACAGAGTGGGAGAAAATCTTTGCAAACTATGCATCCAACAAAGGACTAATATCCAGAATCTACAAGAAGCTCAAACAAATCAGCAAGAAAAAAACAAACAATCCCATCAAAAAGTTGGCTAAGGACATAAATAGACAATTCTCAAAAGAAGGTATACAAATGGCCAACGAGCATATGGAAAAATGTGCAACATCATTAATTATCAGGGAAATGCAAATCAAAATTACAGTGCAAAATCACCTTACTCCTACAAGAATGGCCATAATGGCCAGGCGTGGTGGCTCATGCCTGTAATCCCAGCACTTTGGAAGGCCAAGGTGGGCGGATCACAAGGTCAGGAGTTCGAGACCAGCCTGACCAACATGGTGAAACTCCATCTCTACTAAAATACAAAAATTAACTGGGCATGGTGGTGCATGCCTGTAATCCCAGCTACTCAGGAGGCTGAGCCAGGAGAATGGCTTGAACTCAGGAGGCAGAGGTTGCAGTGAGCCAAGACTGTGCCACTGCACTCCAGCCTGGGCGACAGAGCAAGATTCTGTCAAAAAAAAAAAAAAATGGCCATAATTAAAAAAAAAATAGGTGTTGGTGTGGATGTGGTGAAAAGGAACACTTTTACACTGCTGGTGGGAATGTAAACTAGTACAACCACTATGGAAAACAGTATGGAGATTCCTTAAAAAACTGAAAGTAGATCTACCGTTTGATCCAAGAAGTCATTATATGAAAAAGACACTTGCACATGCATATTTGTAGCAGCACAATTCACAACTGCAAAAATATGGAACCAGCCCAAATGCCCATCAGTCAACGAGTAGATAAAGAAAAATGTGGTACAGTCGGGCACAGTGGCTCATGTCTGTAATCCCAGCACTTTTGGAGGTGAGATTGCACCACTTCACTCCAGCCTGGGTGACAGAGCGAGATTCCATCTAAAAAAATTAATAAATGAATATAAATTTTTTTTTTAAATGTGGTTATGAGATTGGACACATTCAGGGTC